TGAGGGTGTTGCTAAGACCGATGCGAGGTCGAAACTGCAGTCCACTCCAGCCGGGATGAGAACAACTTTTAGGAAATCAAGGCCATGTGAAATTGAATGGAAACGTCAGCTGAAATCTTATGGGATAAGGGACTGGTAGAAGAAGAATTTTCCCACAATGATATGAGATGAGCTGACGTTTTCATTGAATCTTCTTCTACCAGTCCTTCATCACCTTAAACGAAATTGGGTGAATACATCTCATACTACTGATTTACTGGTAGCCTCATACCAGTCCTTCATCACCTTAAACGAAATTGGGTGAATACATCTCATACTACTGATTTACTGGTAGACACGAAAAACAATACTTAATTCGAAAAATATTCATATGATTGTGGAAAAATTCAACTAACACTCCTCTATTGCCTTGAACGAATTACGCTGAATACATATCATATGTGAACATGAATACTAGATTGGGACCATAATTGGATAACTCCTCCGTCCATGCACACACACTCACGCACAAACACACAAACACACAAACATTCACACACATATAACTGGCAGAGATACACGCAAATAGACGAAAGATTTAGAATAGAGTGCAGGAGGAAAAGATGAGACAGATAAGAAAATAGATCAAATGTTGCACCAAGCTGTAAGGTTAGTAAAGTGACGAAAGGGACAAGAACGAAACCACGTTGCGGCTTTTGCGGAAACGAGGATACTGAACCAGAAAAAAAGAGCGGGAGAGTTAGTGAAATATTAACACCCTTAAAAAAAGGGAAAGTAAAGAGCTTGAAAATGGTCGGCCCGGACAAAATGAAACATTCTGGCCGGGAGAAGAGTGGGTTTCACACGCAAGAATGAATGCCGAAATTGCATTTAGGCCAGCCTATGACGATTGTCATAGAGTTTTGCGTAGACCGATATTCACCAGGACCGTGGGAATCTGCCCCGATGTAATGGAGGGCTGAACATGTTCAGAAAAATAATTATCACTCAAGCAATCGTGTATATAAACTCGAAAATTAAATTGATAAAAATCATAAATAAATATATACTCGGCCTAAGGGGAGAGGTCCAAAAGCGATAGTGTCCCAGCCAGGTGGCATCTCCACTTACTACTCATAACTATTACGAGTAGTGTCGTCTTTTTCGCCACTCCAGCCTAACGCACATACTCACTGAGGCAATTGTTGTCCGGAGTTGTGATCATGCTTGACTGCTCATTTTATCGAGGTGTGGCCATTCAAGCGGAGCGAAACAAAACCACTCCCACGGTCACGCTTGATCGCGCAACCAGCTCGACACGGTCGAGCTGAGTGAATGGCTCATGCCCACGTCCTTTTCTCTTGCCCTCTTTGCATGCTCCCTTCAGAAGCCGCTGAGCCCGACGACCACGTCGCCGTCGACGTGGCGGCAGACGCTCCGGACGTCAAGGTACAGATCGGCCGCCCCAGCAGGTGGCTTCTGCTTCTCGCCGCCATCGTCTCGTTGGTGCTCGCCGTCGTCGTCGGCGCCCTGCTTGTGCCTCCGGAGCCGGACGACAGCATCTCGCATCGTGCCACTCGCGTCTGGAGGGCTCTGGTGGCGGCTGTG